ACATGGCACGGGTTTGTCCAACGGCGTCGGTACACCGACTAGCCGCCTCCAGAAGAAAGAAGGGAGTCATGAGTGCCTTCCCAATTGTGTTACAGATGGAGAATGTGGCGGAAGATAATCAGCCCAGTCCCGAAAATATGCTAGTTGGTAAAAAATTGGTGATGAAAGTGTCCCGTGAGGGAGTGCCGTTGGCGGCATTAATAGACAGCGGAGCTATGGTGTCACTGATAAAACCCAGGGCCCTTCAGGCTATCGAGCACGCCACGGGGCAGGACCTAACCAGGAAGTTACGGGACATTGGGAACGAAATAGTGAGAGAAGCGTCAGGGCGTCAAATGAAATTGCGAGGTAGAGGAAAGACCCGTAGAGATGTTTGTGGAAGCAGAGGATGGGATTGGTGAACCGTTGCTATTAGGCACCAACGCGCTAGAGAAATCTCGACTCTGGAGAGCGCAAATGGTGCAAACAGTGGAAGCGCGAGCAAAGCAGTATTATGTTGCGCGTAACCGCGTGCAAGCTAGTCCGTTTCGGATAGGAGAACGGGTACTAGCGTATATGCCGCATCTTGGCATCATGGCATCTTGGCACCATACCGCATCTTGGCGATGACGGACAATAGTGCCACAGTGCAGCTGATAGGCGGAAGAGAACAAGCGTTCAAAGTGCAGTTGGACCACCTGCGGAAAATTCACAAGGAAGTGGCAGAAGGGAAATATTTGCTAGGTGCATCACGGAGGAGAAGGGCTCGTAAACCCTTAAAGTTAGGAAAGAGTCCCAGAAAGAAAACACGGGGAACGAGAGTACATAGATACAATTTCAGACCCAGCAGTCGCTCAAGTGGTATTCGAACGACGACAAGGACCCCGCAGTCGCTCAAGTGGTATTCGAACGAGGACAAGGACCCCGCAGAGCATTGAATGTGGAGGAAGCGATCATGGGGAAGAGCCGTGAATGTACGGCAGCAGTGTGTCGCAATGAAGTCACACTGGGGAGCGTGGTAGACGCATTTCTACCAATTGCTGTTGCCAAAACTCCGTTCCGAAAAGTGGATGAGTTGGCAAAAGCGATAACTTTGTGGGATTCCGACGAAAAAGTGGAGATAAAAGAAACACTTTCGCGGAAGGACCCGCACAACATAACCGTTGTAGCAGAGAAGAAAGGATGGCGAAAAGCCATTGCAGCTTTGACAAACTGTCCTCATTGGCAGCATGCAACGAAAGAAACGTTTGGAACACCCATGTATTCTGGGTACCGAGGTATGCGCAGCGTGATCCGTTTGCTGAAGCGACCGAGAAAGTTCGAGCAGAAGTGAACTGATCCAGAGGCGCGACAAAAGCAAGAGTGGCAATATTTGGAGGAGCACGAGCGTGCACACTGAGCAAAGTGCTAGGGGAAAGCGAGCACGGAGCTGTGAAAACAGTAGGGAAGCAACTGTAGTTTAGCAACTGGAGCGAACTGAGAAGCAGCCCTTGGGAAATGGGCCCCTTCACTGGAATTGGAATTTTTCTTTTGGATATCGATGCAAAGGACAAGATGTTGAAGAAATAGTAGCCGCGCTACAGAAATGTCCCGGTGTATCATGGCACCACCATTCGTAAAGGGCCACGAACAAGCACTGCAGAAAATGAAAGAATGGTTTATGGAAATGAAGGGGAAGTATGCGGACCATTCTTGGATTTTTGCGGGTTGGCAAGATGGACCCGAAGAAATTGATCTGGTATTTGAAACGGGACGGCAACTTTTTTGGAGAGACGGCAAGTATTGCTCTGACAATGGAAACTGGTCTACCGCCGGAGCGAGGAGATTTGCCGCAGCGCTAAAATATTGTTACCAGATCCGCACTGATCTGGTAGTTCAGGACGCAGACGAAGCCGAACCAGAAAGAGAACCAAGAGTTCGAACAATGCAGAGGAAACGAGGACGAGATGCAGTGGCCAAAATAACGCAGCAACGAACGCATCCGTATCGTGCAGAGAACCGGAGGCAGCATGTAGAGCGAGCAAATGGCACGCAAGAGAAGCAAGGAGCAATCCAGAAGCGTACAGCAGTTTGACCCGTGTTCTGTCCTGCCCTTTGTGATAAGTATTTAAGCTGGCGAATTTGTTGTAATATTCAGTGTATATGTTTCGTCTCAACGTTATCGTCGGGTGCGTCCTCCGTGTATCGTCGTGTATCCCCTAGTGTTCAACGATACCGTCCCGTGTCTTCAGTATTCCGGATCGCTGGAGTTCAGCGTGTCCCGTGGTTTGGCGTCCAGAGGTCCAGTGCAGCG